TCCTAGAAGAACCAGTGCTCCCAGCCCACCACCGTCCCTCTAGATCTTGGTGTCGCCTCTTGTGGGCAAAGTCAGAGCCTCTCTCCTGTTCCTGACCCTGCGTGAGTGGGCACATCAGCTGGGCTATGAGCTCCAGAAGCAGGGACGGGGGCTCCCAAGTACTTCATGCCCCAGCAGGGACTTGGCAAATATTTGTTAAGTGACTGTCTGGAGGTCATGGAGACTGCCCTTGGGTCCAGTTGGGAGATGTGCTGGGGCCTGGGCTGGAGATGTTGGGGAGTGCACGTCCTCCCTGTGAGGCAGCGAGAGCAGAGTCATCCTACACTGCTGGCTGCTCTGTGGGCTCAGCTCTGGGACAGATCACTGGCAGGTTTAGAGGCCTCGTTCCCTCACTATGCCACCACTGCTCCACCCAGCAAGCGATATGGCCAGGTGCCAGCTGCTGAGGACCTGTTTCTCCTGCGGACCCAGTGTGAGCGAACGCTCGGGGCCCAGTGCACTCTGCAGTCTCCCTCCACCCCCATCTTCCCTGTTGACAGTGACCTTCTTCACTTGGTGCTGGGGTAAGGCCACATTCAGATGTCTGCAGCTCCCAGACCCACTGCCCTACTCGAGAGTCACATGGAGCAGGGAGAGTTCCTGTGAACCCATCAGCTGAGCCTGCGAACCAGTTACTCCTGCACCACCAACCCCTGAATCACTGTCAGAGCTCCCGAGTCCTAGCTGCTAGGCTCATGAGATGGCCTTTCTCTTAGGGGGGCCCGGATTCCCTCAGCCCCACTAGCATCTTGTTGCCTCCTCTTTCCCCAGAACCTCAAAGTCCACATTGTCAGTGATCCCTGTTTACCAGGCCTGTACTCGGCACTCGGTAAGGTTCATGTGCCTGTTCCTGGGGAGGGGTTGGGCTGTACCCCACCTCTAAAGCCTCGCTGCTGTGGGCCATTGAGTGAATGGAGAGGTCTGCAGTGCCACTGGGCACTGGGCGGAGCTGGTGGGGCCCTGCTGGGCCTCTCTGCCAGTTGCAGCGTCCCGAACTCCAGTCATTTATTCCTATCTTGGTGCTTTCTATCAGCTGCTGCTTTTATTTTTATTTTTTTAATTTTGCTGGTGCTGGGCATGAAATCTGTGGCCTTGTGCACGGAGGCAAGCACTCTACCACCTCCTATTTTTCTTTTTTCTTTAATTTCTGTGCCAGGGTCTTGCTGTGTTGCCAGGCCGACTTGGGATTTGTGATCCTCCTGCCTCGACTTTTCAAACAGCTGGGGCTCCTGGTGTGCACCACAGGTCTGGCGTCTCTACAGTGTTCTCTTAACATTTACAAATGTTTGTTGAGCATCTAGCTCTGTTTTAATCTTGAACAGAACCAGCCAGGACACCTGCCCTTGGGAAACTGACGTCCTCCTTTAAGCACTAACTGTTCAGTTGGCCCTCCTGTATCTGCGGTTTCTGCATCCTGAGATGCACCGAACCTCAAAAAATACTGAATCAGGTATGCGCCACCAATCTGGACATGGTGGCACACACCTGTAATCCCAGTGGCTCAGGAGGCCGAGGCAGGAGGATCGCAGTTCAAGGCCAGCCTCAGCAAAAGCGAGGCGCTAAGCAACTCAGTGAGACCCTGTCTCTAAATAAGATACAAAATAGGGCTGGGGATGTGGCTCAGTGGTCAAGTACCCCTGAGTTCCATCCCCAGTATTTCCCCCCACAAAAAATACTGGAGAGGGCTAGAAATGTAGTTTAGTGGTGGAGTACTTTTTAAAAATAAGGGAAAACATTTTTGTCTCTGATGAATACATACAGCCTTTTTTTTTCTTGTCCCTATTTGTAGCAACTATGTATACAGTGTTTACTTTGTATTATATAAGTTATCAACGATGTATAAGTCATGCAGGCCAGGGAGGGGCAGGGCCTGGGTCTCTCTCCTACTCTCCCAGAGCAGCTAGCACCCAATAGCATCTCAGTTCAGGTTGAGTTTGCAGAACTGGGCTGGCTTTATGGACCTCAGTTTTCAGACAGAAGGAAGGGATTTGGAGCCCCTGATTCCAGGAGCAGGTCCACTCTGGTGCACCTCTGAGCCTCGGCCACAAGCTGCTTCTGTTCCTCATCACAGCCCTTTCCGAATCAACCAGATATATATGAAAGCTAACTCAGAGTGAGGAAAGAACAGCTGGGATTCCATTCCTGCCTCAGGGACTTTGCACATACCCTCTCTGCCTTTCTCTTCTTTTTCCCAGACTCAGCTCAGGCTTCTCTCACCAGCAGAAGCCTTCTTACCTGCATCATGTCCATTTAGGACCACCTCCCTCTATAGACTACAGAATTACAAATGACTCCCTTCTACTAGTGGGGTCACTTTACCAACCCACACTTGTCTTCCTTCAAAGAAGATCATCCCCAAGTAAGGGACATGGCCTTTCTATCTTTTCACTTATTTTCCCTGGAAGAGGTAGTACAGGATCTTATACAGAAGTTCACATATTGAGAGATGTCCAGAATAGGGGAGTGAGTTCCCTGAGCAGCATCAATTCCCATTTCTTTTTAAAAACATAGTACTTATCTTTTTTTCTTTCTTTCTTTCTTTTTTTTTCTTTTTTTTTTTTTTGCAAATGAGCAGGTTCAAAATGCAAAATCCAAAAAGTCTACTTTGCAGATCTCATTCCTTAGTTTTGCCCAGAGGATATCAGCTGCAGTTTCTTTTTTCCTTTGCATTGCTGGGGATGGAACCCAGGGCTACATACATGCTAGGAAGTTCTCTACTACTGAGCTACATGGCTGCCTTTTTTTTTTTTTAATAGCTTTATTGAGATATGCCATATAGTACATCCATTTAAAGTGTACAGAGTCTTGTTTTATTTTGGTTTTGGTTTTGGTACTGATGATGCACCCAAGGGGTGCTTTATCACTGAGCTACATCCCCAGCCCTTTTTACTTTTTTGTTTTGTTGTTGTTTTGAAGCAGGGTCTTCCTAATTGCTGAGGGTCTCACTAAGTCAGTAGTTTTCAGTATATAAAGCTTTGCAACTATTGCCATAGTTAACTTAGACTCCCCCACCCCACCCCACCCCCCAGTACTGGGATTGAATTCAGGATACTGCTCCACTGAGCTATGTCCTCGGCTGTTTTTATTTTGAGACACAGTCTCACTAAGTAGCTTAGGGCCTTGCTAAGATGCTGAGGCTGGCCTCAAACTCGTGATTTCCCTGTCTCGTCCTGGGAGTTCAGGCGGGCACCACCGTGCCCATCTGACAACTTTCAGTATGTAAAGAATAAACCCTACGTCCCTTTACTCTCAGCAAGGCCCCATTTCATTTTCCCCTCCCTAAAAACAGAAGCCACTAATCTGCTTTCTGTCTAAATGGATTTGCCTATTCTGGATGTTTTATGTAAGTGGAATCATACAATATGCGGTCCTTTGGCTTCTTCACAATGTTTTCTGGGGTTTTCCATGTTGTAGCATGTGTCAAAATTTTGTCCCTTTTATGGCTAAATCATATTCATTGTGGGTATAACCTGGTTTGTTTTATGTGCTGGGGGTGCACCCCGGGGTCCTGTGCATGCTGGGTGAGCGTGTAGCCTAGGCTACCACCCAGCCCTGTGCCACATTTTAAATTTTTTTAATCCATTCATTAGTTAATAGACAGTTTCTGTTTCCACCTATTGGCTGTTGGGTGTGTTGTTTTGTTCTGTTTTGAACAGAGGATTAAACCCAGAAGGACTTTAACAACAAGGAATGACTTTCCCCCTTTCATCTTCCCGCCTTCTGTGTCTGGGGGTTCTGATTTCTCGTCCTTACCAGCACTTGCTGTCCATCCTTGTGCTGCTGGAGGGGAGCTCGGGCTTATATGTAATCTCATCTCATGTCTGATTGTTCAGAGTGCTTTCGAGTCCTGTGCTTGGCAAAGCTGACACTTGTGACTTTGGCTCCTGGTATTTACCTATCAGTGTCCAGAGATGTCATACATGATGCACTTCTGCATCTCTGCTGTCTCCCTTCCAGGCACTTAGGTAGACCTGTTGAATGTTCAAGTACATGTGGATAAGTGTGCCAGGGGTCTTCTATCTGCAGGGGACAGAATATAGCCATCGTGGTCACAGCAGGGCTTTGCTGATTTGACAGTACACTTGACTGGCTCTCAGTATTTGTGAGCTTGGCATCATGGATTCAATCAACTATAGTTTGAAAAGATTTTTTTAAAAGTATTTTAAGGATCAAAAATATTCAGAAGGGGCTGCGGATATAGCTCAGTTGGTAGAGTGCTTGCCTCATGTGCACAAGGCCCTGGGTTCAATCCTCAGCAAGACGTAAAATGAAACTACAGCTAAATAAATGTACGTGTGTGGTGCATCTCATTAAACATGTGCGACTTTTCCTTGTCATTATTACCTAATTAATATATTTATATACATTGTATCAGGTATTGTAAGCCATCTAGAGATTATTTAAAGTATGTGAGTGGCCGGGGTATAGATAAGTGGTAGAATGTCCATTTTGCCTGCCTGAGATCCTAGGTTCAACCAGCTGCACCACAAAAATGTTAAAGTAAGCCAGTTGCAGTAGCACCCACTTCTAATCCCAGCTACTCTGGACACTGAGGCAGGAAGATGGCAAGTTTGACATCAGCCTGGATAAAATTTAGCAAGACCCAGCCTTGTACCTGCCCAGCACATGCAAACCCTGGGTTAAACCCATAAGGCCCCTGGCAAGAAAGTAAGTAAAGTCCACAGGACGATTGCAAAGGTTCTGTACAAATACTGTGCCATTTGAAGGACTTGGGAATTCGATTTTTGGTATCTACTGGGGTTCCTGGAACTAGTCCCCCACCAAGGGACAGCTGAGTATCATAAAGGCAAGTCTGCTGGTGTAGAAGGAATCTGCTTGATTCTGCCTCGAGGGTGTCTGGGCTTTTGCGTGGCTTCCTGCAGCAGTCGGGGTCCATGAAGCAGGGTTCAGCCAGCACTGGATTTTGCTGCTCACCTTGCCCCCTGTCTCCCTGTCTGCAGCTGCCGCCATGGCCCAGACCCTGCAGATGGAGATCCCAAACTTTGGCAACAGTATCCTCGAGTGCCTCAACGAACAGCGGCTGCAAGGCCTGTACTGTGACGTGTCTGTGGTGGTCAAGGGCCACGCCTTCAAGGCCCACCGGGCTGTGTTGGCTGCCAGCAGCTCCTACTTCCGGGACCTGTTCAACAGCAGCCGGAGCGCCGTGGTGGAGCTGCCGGCAGCCGTGCAGCCCCAGTCCTTCCAGCAGATCCTCACGTTCTGCTACACGGGTCGGCTGAGCATGAACATGGGTGACCAGTTCCTGCTCATATACACAGCCGGCTTCCTGCAGATCCAGGAAATCATGGAGAAGGGCACCGAGTTCTTCCTCAAGGTGAGCTCCCCGAGCTGCGACTCCCAGGGCCTGCACGCCGAAGAGGCCCCATCATCTGAGCCCCAGAGCCCTGTGGCACAAACATCAGGCTGGCCAGCCTGCAGCACACCACTGCCCCTCGTGTCTCGGGTCAAAACAGAGCAGCAAGAGTCGGACTCTGTGCAGTGCACACCTGTGGCAAAGAGGCTGTGGGACAGCAGCCAGAAGGAGGCTGGGGGCAGCAGCAGTGGCAACGGCAGTCGCAAGATGGCCAAGTTCTCCACGCCGGACCTGGCCACAAACCGGACGCCCCAGCCGGCCCCGGTGGTGGCAGCAGCAGTGGCAGCGGGGGGTGTGATGAGCGGGCCCAGTACATCAGAGCGGACAAGCCCCGGCACCTCCAGCGCCTACACCAGTGACAGCCCTGGCTCCTACCACAACGAGGAGGATGAGGAGGAGGACGCGGGCGAGGAGGGCGCCGACGAGCAGTACCGGCAGATCTGCAACATGTACACCATGTACAGCATGATGAATGTCGGCCAGACGGGTGAGGCCCTGCTCCCTGCCTGGGACGCCTGCCCTGCGCCCTCAGGTGCACACATTCACATGTACACTCTGCTTTCTCCCCACAGCCGAGAAGGTGGAGGCCCTCCCGGAACAGGTGGCCCCAGAGTCCCGAAGTCGTATTCGGGTACGGCAAGACCTGGCATCTCTCCCAGCTGAGCTCATCAACCAGATAGGCAACCGTTGCCACCCCAAGCTCTACGATGAGGGTGACCCCTCAGAGAAGCTGGAGCTGGTAACAGGTGTGCTGGCCCCACTGTCTCCCTAGATCCCCCCGCTCTGTGTCCTCAGGCCTCATGTCCTGTGTTGGTTAGAAGCTACTATCCTGGGGCAGCTGAAGCCCTCGGCCCTTCAGTTTCCCCATCTGGACCTTGATGTTGGTAGCGGCCCATCCTGGCAAGACCAGTGGTGCAATTAGATGAGCTGAGAGCTGAGCTGTGGTTCATTGGCGTGCTCTTCTGGCACATGCAAGGCCTTGTGTTCGATCCCCAGTATGGGGAAAAAAAAAAAAAGATCAGGTAAGTTAGCTAGGCTGATGGTGGCCCAGCTTGTAACCAATTACTCAGGAGGCTGAAACAGGAGGATCCCAAGTTCAAGGCTAGCCTAGGCAATTTAGCAAAAACCTGTCTCCAGTTGTAAAAAGTGGGCAGTGGGTCTGGATGTAGCTCGGTGATAAAGCACCCTGGTTCGGTATCTAGTACCACTCATAGAAAATGAAGGTGACATGAACTGAGGCACCTCAGGTGGATTCCGAGGTTTCTGGCTCTGGGAGCTAGTGCACACATGGGGTAGGTTAGCTGCCTTCAGGGCTAACTGCCACAGTGACCTGGGGCTTCTCTCTGCTCCCAGGTGACCTTGATGAGTCTTGGCCTCCTTGTCTGGGGATGGTCAGAACCCCTGCCACACACGTGTCAAGCCAGACTTGCTGCAGGGCCTGGCAGGTGGCAGGTCCCCATGGGTGATGCCTGTACTCTTTCTGTCCTTTCCTGAGCACTGACATGGCAGAAGAGGTCTGAGGAACCCCACCTGACTGCTCTGGAGCCTCCGGGGCCAGTGGGTGGGCTCCAAAGCCCAACACAGAAGGGCCTGTAAGGAGCGGTGCTTGAGAAGGGCTCGGACTCAGGCCATATGGGGGTTGGCAGTTTGGAGCACCCTCGGTCAACCTCTGCTTCCCTTACCAGGTACCAATGTGTACATCACAAGGGCACAGCTCATGAACTGCCACGTCAGCGCAGGCACTCGGCACAAGGTCCTGCTACGACGGCTTCTGGCCTCCTTCTTTGACCGGTGAGACCCTTGCCAGAGCCCTAGGGTGGGGCTAGGTGTCCTCTACCCCATCACCACCAGGAGCCCTGACTCCTTTCACCCTACCCCCCGCATTCCCAGGAACACTCTGGCCAACAGCTGTGGTACCGGCATCCGTTCCTCCACCAATGATCCCAGACGCAAACCACTGGACAGTCGTGTTCTCCACGCCGTCAAGTGTGAGTATCCAGCTTCTGGAGTGCAGGTTAGGGTCTGAGGCAGCCTTAGGCAGCTGTATTTTTATCCAGTGCGGGCCCTAATGGATGGGTGCAGTTTTGTGTTAAGAAGAATTCCGAGCTGGGTGTGGTGGCACATGCTTGCAATCCCAGCAAAACAACAAAAATTAGAATTTTGAGGCTCAATCTCCCCTGCTTGATGGGAAGAGGGCTGTAACTACAGCGGTTTCTCCACAGTTGGGTAGTGCTAAAGGGAGGCCAGGGGGTCTGTGGCAGGAGGGTCTCAAACCCTGGGCAGGCACAGAAAGGTTTAAACAGCCAGGCAAATCCCCCAAAGAGCTGGCCACCAGACAGTGCTGCCAGTTGTTAGGAGCTCAGTCAGCCACCACTGGGAGCGGTCAGTGGTCTCCCTGTGGGGATTTGGGAAAGCCTTGCAGCGGGAGGGCAGGCCTCATGGGCCTGAGCCACCTGCTCTGCCTGCACAGACTACTGCCAGAACTTTGCCCCCAACTTCAAGGAGAGTGAGATGAATGCCATTGCCGCTGACATGTGCACCAACGCCCGCCGCGTGGTGCGCAAGAGCTGGATGCCCAAGGCCAAGCCGATGCTGGCAGAGGGTGACGCCTACACCACCTTCATCAGTGACACAGGCAAGATGGAGCCAGACATGATGAGCATGGAACACGGCTTTGAGACAGCCAGCCACGACGGCGAGGCAGGCCCCTCTGCTGAGGTCCTCCAGTAACCCCACGGGACCCTCCCCAAGGGGCTGTCACACTCCCCCTTCCCGTCACACACCCGCCCACCATCTTGGTCACGAGCTACTGTCTGTCCCTCCCCAGGACCCTTGGGGGGTGCTGCATGCTCCCAGCCCCTCTGCCTCCCTGTCCCATCCCCTTCCCCCAATGCGAGCCAGGCTGGGGAGGATGGGGCAGGTGGTGCCAGGGCCTGTTGCCTTCTTTAACACACTCATGCAGTGGGGAGCACCTTGCTCCCCCTTCCTAACCCTTAGTAGTCATTCCCTGCTCACCAGGCCTGGCACAGGGAAGGGGCCAGCCTGGGAGACCTGTGAAAGGTCCCTTTCCCAGGCCCTGGGCCACTTTGTCCCCTCACTGCAGCCCCTTGGGACTCAAGGGGGCCCTGGGGGCTCTCAGGACCCCTCCTACCACCTCCCAGTGCTTCCAAGTCTCCAAAAGCGCCTTCCTGTCTCCCTCGTCTGTCCCTGTACCTGGGGGCTAGGATAGGCGAGGCTTAGAGGGACTGTCCACTTTACAGCTGAGGAAATGGGGCCCAGAGAAGGCTCAGAAATCCCAAGACTGAACTAAGGGCAGGGGCCAGTGGTGGCCCAGTGCCCCTCCCTCCCACCACCCTGTGCTCAGTCTCTGTTGCCCCTGCCAGTCCCCTGGGCCTGAGAGAGGCTGGTCCTAAGTGAGGGAGTTCTTGGGGGCAGAGGGAGGGTCTCAGAGGACAGGATAGCTCTCCGGGGCTCGCAGAGCGTGTGGGTGTGCATGTGTGCGTGTGTGTAGGTTTGCTTTCAAAAACTAGTGAAAACACAAGAGGCGGTAAGACCAGGGTTCCAACCCAGGGGATCAGGCTGGGGGGGCTACTGCCCACTCCCCCACCCCCCCTACCCCGCCCCACAGCAGGGCTCCCAGCCCCACCTCCTGTACATACTTTTTAAAACATTTTTTTAGCGAATGAAATATTGAAGTATAAGATTTCCTTTTATTTTTCAAACCAACGGGACTGTGTCTGAGGTCCCCCTCATTCCCCGGGGGGCTGTGGAAGGCAGGTTGGGGGTGCTGGGTCAGGCTGAATGTGTGGGTGCATGGAGTGTGGGTGTGGTTCCATGGTGGGTCCCTAGTCTCAGCCATCACCTGGGCTCCTGGGGTCCAACCAGCTTCCCCCTCACTCCCCACCCAGACGACAGCTAAAGGATGTCCCGGGCCTTGGCTGGGTGGCCAGGCAGGCAGGGCAGGCAGGGCAGGGCCCACATTCATTGTTAGCAGTCATTTGTGAAATTCTCTCACCATTCCTCTTTTTACTTCGCCTAGAGGTAGTGTTTGGTTTTTTTGAGTTTTACATGTGAACCCGGGGTCCCCAACACAGACACATCATCATTTCGCCATCTCAGCTTGCTTTTGCCCTGTCCTTCTCTCCTCCTCCTCCTCCCAAACTCCTGCCTGCCCCTAGCTCCCAGCCACTTCTCTCCCGCAGGCAGGGGATTGCAGGAGGTCGGGTGGGGGCCAGCCAGGGTTGGAACCTTGGAATCTGATTTGGAGACCTTCACCCCCAACCCAGCAGCATGCCCCCCTAGCCTGTAGGGGGTCCCTCCAGATATCTGCTTGTTGCAGGGATGGGGGTTGTCAGATGTGTCAGGTCTGGCTGGGGTCCCGACACTCTGCTTTCCTGGCCTATCCCCAGCACCTTAGCCTCTGGTGGCCCAAGTGTGTGGGGGGAGTCGACACCCCCAGCTAAAGCACAAGCACCTTAGTCGCACCCCCACTCCCCCCACCCTCCCCTGGCCTGATGCCCCACCCCAGCGTTGATCCCAAAGCACAATATCCTGGTCACTTGGCAAGTAGCTGGGCCCAGCCAAGGTGAGGGGCAGGTGGGGACTCCAGTCAGCTCCCCTCCTTCCAGGCCTTAGTGAGGGGGCAGCTCTCTGGGACTAGGGTCTTCTCCCAACCCGCTCCTTCTCTGAGCCCCGCAGCACTGGGTTGGGTGGCAGGGCCCACTTGTTTCAGGGACCCCAGGAGGTGCTCCTGGCTCCCGGGACTGTGAGGGTGTCTAGGGGTTAGGGGTGGGAAGAGGGGTCTGGGCAGGGGGTGCAGGGGAGGAAACTCCTCACTAGGAGAGCCAAAGACAGGGTTGTGCCTTACCCCAGGAGCCACCCCTGCATCTCCCTGCCCTGGCGGCCAGCTGCTTTCCCCTCCCCTCTCCTCCCCTCTCCTCTCCTCCCCTGCCCTGAGCTGCATGGTCCCCCAACCCTGGGCAGCCAGGAAGAAATACAAGTGGAGAATCATCCACCTACCAGATTAAAAAAAAAAAAAAAAAATAGGGCCCTCCCCCAACTCCACTGGCCGTCTACTCACCCACGCCTCTTTCACAGGGGACAGACCACGGGTCTGCCCACCCTGTCCTGCGTGAAGTGCCAACGCCCTCCCTGCCCTGGGCCTAGCCCCCGCCCCTCCCCGGCCCTAAGTGAGATTGCACATTAACTACTGTAAGGAGAGGAGCGGCGTTGGGAAATGTGAACCATGAAAATATCAGTGATGCTGATGAGGAGAATAAACTGAACGCCTTTGTAACAGTCCTGCAGCATGCTGCTCACTCCAGGGGGTGCGCCTGGGCTAGCCCTGTGGACACGAGCCACCACTCTTCCTTCTCCGATCTGCACCTGTGGGTTCCTAGACAGCCCCTCAGAAGCTAGAGGGGCAGCCAGGCACTGGCACATACCTGTAATCTCTGGTTTGGGAGGCTGAGGCAGGAGGATCATGAGTAAGTCAGCCTCAGCAACTTGGTGAGGCCCTATCTCTAAATAAAAAATACATCAAGGGCTGGGGATGTGGCTCAGTGGTTTAGCAGCCCTGGTTCAGTTCCTGATTTTTTTTTTTAAAGCTACAACTATCTAGAATTTACAGTGATGCTGGCTTACTGCCCCCGCAGTTAAGTCCTCCAGAACCCAGGAAGTCCTGTACACACTTGCCCCTTCACCCTGTTCACAGCCAGCACTCCCATGATTGGAAGAAAAGAGAAAATGTTTGTGGAAACACACTAATGCAACCCCAGGAATTTGGGTGGATAAGCCAGGATGGTGAGTTCAAGGCCAGCCTGGATCACTTAGCAAGACCATCTCAAATTCATAAACAAAAGGGGGAGGTTTGCTAGGGATGCAGCTCAGTGGTAAAGCACCCCTGAGTTCAGTTCTCAGTGCCCAAAAAGGAAAAATAGTGAAAACCACGCTGGGGTGAAACCGGTAGAGTGCACGTTTTGCACGCGAAAGCTCCTGTGTTTGATTTGCAGCACCAGAGAAGACATTTTCCATGGGAGAGGCTCAGCAACCGACATCCTGTAAGATGATAGAGAAGGGACTTCCATCTCAGTCCCCCTTTTCTTTAACCTTTATTTTTATGTGATGCTGAGGACCGAACACATGCTAGGCAAGCGCTCTACCACTCAACCACAGCCTCAGCCTAACTCAGTCCTTTTTTGAGACAGTCTCAATAAAAATTACCCAGCCTGGCCTTGAACTTGTGATCCTTCTGCCTCAGCCTTTCAAATAGCTGGGACTACAGGCATGCACCACCACATCTGGAACCAAAAAATATTTTCTCTTGTGTGGTCTTCCAGGTGTGTGCCACCATGCTGGGCAGAAATTTTCAAATTTTCCATTATTAACCCATTTTGTCCCATCATCCTCTATATAGGACACCTATAAGATATTGAGCCAGGCATGGTGGCCCACACCTATAATCCCAGCAGCTCTGGAGGCTGACACAGGATGGCAAGTTCAAAGGCAGCCTCAGCAAAAGCGAGGCCCTAAGCAACTCCGTGACTCTCCTTGTGTCTAAAAAGGACTGGGTTGTGGCTCAGTGGTTAAGTGCCCCTGGGCCAAATCCCCAGTCCAAAAAGAAAAAAGGTTCAAATCATCTTGTTCACTTTAAGAACACCTGTGAAATTGTCCAGGCCACCAAGGATATGCATATCTGAAAAGTTACCAAGTGCCTGCTTTACGTCTTTTTAAAGAAACAATGTGTGCCATTCTAGTAGAATTGGGAAGTGAGCCTAGGCCAAACCATGAGGCTAGATACAGGGTTGGTGACCCAAAAAGAGTACTGATATTTTGCTGCATATGCTTTGAAATGTAAAATAATGCTGAACTGAAGGGTTTAGAGGTAGATTCTCTGATCATTGAACACACAGGTGAATGGGGCACCCAAGATGCACTGCTGCACTTACAGAGCTCTTGGTAGATTAACCCCTGTGACCTCCCCTGCCACATGGCAGTGAGCATCACTGAAAAGGAACAGATAGTTCCTAAACCAGAAGAGGAGTTTTCACAGAAGAAAAAGATATCCCAGAGGAAACAAAAACTTATTGCACAAGAATCGATTCAGCATAAAATAAGTGCAAATAAAATAGAAAAAAAAAAAAGAGTCCCATCAGGGGTCAGTCTCAATTATAGTCAACACGCTGAATGATCCAAACTTATGAAAAGCTAGGGCTTTATTTCCAAGTTGGCACATGTAGAAGGCACAGGGCGAATGGCTTTGGGCACTAGAAGTGGGGTGGAGTGTGTCAGGGATCCCTGCCTCCACTACTCCCTGAGCGCACTCAGGACCAGTGGCAAGGTGCCCGCCTGTGGCCCTGACAGTCCCACTGGCTTTAGATGAGAGCTCCCCAGGCTCCACATCCTCCTCCCCGGGGGCAGGGTCAGCTCAAAAGGGCTTGGTGGTTCTGAGGGCACCAGGAGCCAGTGCCCCAGGAAAAGCCCAGGTCAGAGAGAGAAGAGTAGAATAAGAACCAGGAGTACCACTCCCAGCAACACCACAATGGCACACCACTGTCTGCGGTCTGGGGACAGAAGGGTCAGAGGTCACAGGTTAAGGTAAGTGGAACCACCCATCACCTTCCCCAGTCCAAGATCCACCCCCTTCAAAGGGCACTTACCACTGGTCATGTGGGACACTTTGGCCATCTTCCTGAGAACCCTGTCCATCTGGGACTGGGTGAGGTCCATCTCATGAGCAAAGGCATCCAGCATGCTGCCAAGACCAAGATGGCATCAGACTCAAAAGGGCCCATGCACACTAGAACACCCAGCCCACCCCCTGGGTCCTGGCCTTACACGCCCTGTTCATCCAGCTCCTCCCCAACACGGCCTGACATGTGTTTCAGAACCCGGATGCTCCCAGACACCATTTCCAGCTGTTGGTCCTGTTGCTCCATGATCAACTGCAGGGTAGAGGGGGTAGCTGCGGTGAGCAGGGACCCCTGAGTGGTCCAGAGGATCCCAGGGCCTTCTGCCACCCACAACAAACCTGCTGGGTAGCTTGCTGCTCCTCAATGTAGCGTGAGGTGGCTGAGACCACACTGGCATCCAGCAGGTCACTGTGTGACTTCTGAGCATCTGGCTTGGCCATCAGCACCTCCTGGAACACAGGGAGGGACACCCATGCAGAGTGGGCCAGGTGCATGTTTGTGGGACATCCATAGTTAATCAGGAAGCAGTCTCAGGTGGGACTGCTTCCTCAGACCTGCCACTTCCTAGCAAAATAGCCCCAAGGCCATGACATTGATCTCCCTGTGCCTGTTTTCTCCTGATAAAATGAGATCTGTAATTCTTGTTTTCTGGGGTTGGAATGAAAATCTCATTAATTAGTAACACCTAGAACAGTGCCCTATACACTGTTAATAAATTTGTCTCATTTCATAATGCTGGGAAGAGACAGTCAACAGTCAAGTGGCTCTTCCTCCCTGTTCCTCAGTCCCTGCTTCCCAGTTTCACAGGATTGGGTGCAGACAAATACAATCAATGCACTTATTTTATTTTGTTGCTTTTTTTTTTTTTCCTGTGCCTGGAATTGAACCCAGGGCCTCACACATGCTAAGTGTAAGTTCTAACCCTTAGCTACACGCTCAGCCCCTCTTTTTTCCCTTTTTAAACTGCAATGCATTTAGCACAAGGTACAGCCTGGCCTGTGTTTATTTTATTTATTTGAGGTCTTGGGGATTGGACCCAGGGACTTGTGCATGCTAGGCAAGCACCACTACCATTGAGCTACTTCCCCTGGCCACTGAGTGTTTACTCGACAGAACACTTGTTATTATTTTATCAATAGATGTATTTCAGAGTTTGGATTTAATCTCCAAGGCGGCACATCTGGAAGGGCATGTGGGCACTGCTTCAGGATGGCAAACTGACATGGGCCTCAGACCCGCACACTTCCTGATCGTGTGGGTCTGTGAGGGGATGGAGAAGGACTAGTGTGTTCCAATGCAGAGAATGGACAGGTAACACACAGGGAAAAGGTAGACAGGAGGATTGGAAGTTCAAAGCCAGCTTCAGCAACTTGCTGAGGCCCTAGGCAACTCAGTGAGACTCTCTCTAAATAAAATATGAAAAAGGGCTGGAGATATGGCTCAGTGGTTAAGCGCCCCATATTGAAGTGGTTCAATCCCTGGTGTGGAAAAAGAAAAAAGGTAGACAAGTGGCAGTGAGAATGAGAACACAGACACAGAGGGCAGTAGTGTATGCATGGAGGTGAGATAGAGATATACTCAGAGGTCAAGTGCACACACCCCAGTGGGCAGGTGCATGCAAAGAGAAAAACACATAGGCATATATCCTGGAAACAGCCGCACACCAAGCAAATGGCAGGTCAGCACAAAGGACAAGTGTATACAGGCCCTCTCCTGGAAAAAAAAAAAAGCCAGTATACTTAGAGAACTACACACTGAAATTATGATTGTTCCTTGATATTTTCAGGATTTGGGTTCCAGAACCTCCACAGATACAAAAATCTGAGGATGTTTAAGCCCATTGTGTAAAATGTCATAACATTCATGTAGTATCACTATATATCTTCGATTAGACATCAGATCATTCCTAGCTTATACCTAATACAACGCAAATAATAAGTATTTGTTTTACTGTATTGTTTAGGAAATGCAAGAAAAAAGCAGGCACATATTCAGTATAGACACTTTTTTTTTTCTTCCAAATGTTTTTGATTGCTTGAGTCTGAGGATGTGGAACCTGCAGATAAGGAGTGCTTAGATGTACACACCCGGAAAGAGCATGCAGGTAGGCGGCTGGAGAACAGCACAGAGGATGGATATTAATGCAGAAGAGACTAGTGTCGAAACACAGAGAAGGCAGGCAAACACACAGATCGGGCTGGCACTCAAAGCAACGGGTCCCTGAGACAGACTTAGAGGTGTGTGCTGGGTCTGGATGCATTACCTCTCTGTTATTCCTCTCCATGAAGGCTATGGCTGCTGGGCTGACCATGTGGTCCTTCATTTCCTGGGAGTGAGGGCAGCATTAGCTAGTATAGACATTCCTAACCTCCCCAAACTCACCCCATCAGGACCTCTCCTCACCTGAACAGCTTCCCTCATGCGCTCCACGAACACCTTTCTCTCCTGCAAGTCCCCTGCTGGGAGCTTGAACTTGCCTGGGTTGGCTTCCACTATGCGTGGGCTGAGTCAAGGGTCACGGCCAGAGCTAGATACACCCCTGGGCCTTCACTTTTCAGCCTTCAATATTTTCCCGGTGTCCAGTCTCCCGGAAGGTGGGCTCCCTGAGCACACGCTACAGCAATGGACTCTCCCATGCCATCCCTCCAAAACCCCAGGATATCGATGGTCTCTTCCAGGTCCTCGAGGTCCCACTCAATGCTGCGCAGGCCATTCCGCAGTTCATTGGTGGTCCAGTCCAACTCCTCGCGTCCCACCGCAGCGCCATCCTTCAGGAGCTCACACCAGCGCTGGTGTAGCCCGCGGGCGGTGTTCACCGCCTTCTGCACCTCGCTGCGGGCAGGGGCACAGTGGGAGTGGCTGTGGGCAGACGGCCCTCTCGCTCGCCCCCAAACGAAATGGGGGGTTCAAGAGACCTCCATATCTCATAGCGAATCCTCCCACTCGGCCACGGGGCGACCCGTGCACCCCGATGGTGCAGCGGTGCCCAGAACGTCTGACCATGCACTGGCTGGCAAGGGACTGATGACCTTCCGCCCTCCCCCAGCACTATCACTCACCCTCGGACTACAAAAAAAGGGTCTTCGAGAGACATGTCAGTCCCCCTCCCTCCCAGTCGAACCCCCTCCTTGTGACTGATAGCTGGTTCCCTCCTAGCCAGGAGAATGCGCCGCCAACCCAGCCCTCGACGCGCTACCATAGAGAGCGGGCCCTCCAGAAGAGAAAGAGAGTCCTTGGAAGCCCGAAGTACGGCAACTTCCGTCCTCCTCGCAGTCATCTTGGTTGTGGGCAAAGACGGCTTCCTGTTCGCAGGCTCCGCCCCATCATCATCGTATTCTCCCGGGTGAGGGGTGGTGTCCTAGTTGTGTCGGGAGGGGTCTGGGTCCGAGATCCCAGCCTCGGTTCGCGATCCAAGTCCTCGGGCCGTTACTCCATAACCTCAGTGTCCCTTCTGGGCAATGAAAAATAATAATAGCCTCCGTTTAGTCAGACAAGGTTAGGTCTTGAACCCCCCCTTTTTTTGGTAGGTGGACAGCGTGTCTTTATTTGTTGATTTTTATGTGGTGCTGAGGATCGAACCCGGTGCCTCACACCTGCTGAGCCAGCGCTGTCACTGAGCCCCAGCCCCAGCCTCGCATTGAACCTTTGAACAGACTCCAGTGTCGGCACCCGGTGGCCGTCCCAGGAGATCGTCCCAGCCCCGGGTCCCGGTGGCTGGTTATGGAACGGTTCGGGGAGAGCCGGTGCCCGTCCTCCCCGCGGGGCGAAGTGAGGAGTGGGAATTCTGCGGGGACTTCCGCTGGACTCTCCACTCTTCCCTACAAAAGGCCTGTGGGAGGGAGGAGAGAGCAGGGGTCGCCTGGGGGTCGCCTGGGGGCGGGGTGGTAGTGAGCGGGGACCCCGGAGATGTCCGGGAGGGTCACCTTCCAGAGCGTGTGTGCAGGTGGGTTCCCAGGCCCGTGAGCCGGGGAGCGGGGTGCTGCGCAGGCGCTGGACTCCGGGGGACCGCCGTGCGCGTGGCGTCTCCGTCTAGAGAGGGACTTACTGGGTCACCTCCTGTGCGACAGAGCCGCCTTGGTGGGGCTCCTGGGAAAGCACTTTTTTGGGGAGAGTGGAAGGAAGCCATCGCCTGAACGGAGGACTCCCCCACCCGAGGATCGGGGCGGGGTGTCCGAGGGGAAGGTTCGCCCCCACGTGGGGTCCCACGGATGGCGCCTGGGCTGGGGGTGTCAGTATGGAATCTGCGTGGTGGCTAGCGGGACGGGGAGGGAGGCGTCCCCGGCAGGTCACCGCCGAGAGTGGCCGGATGGCAGAATGGGGAGGGGCCTTGTGAGGGGGAGTAATTGGATTCCCACGTGAGACGAGAGGCGGGACGTCGTGAGGGTGCCTTAAGGCCAGGGGGACCGCGGGGGGGAGGACGGAATAACCAGGTGACCTTGTGGGAGACAACTGGGGCCTCCCCGGAGGGAAGGGTGATCAGCTGGCCGCCCCGCGTGCTGTCGGGGTCGCCGGGAGACGCGGCGGTAACCCTGAGGTCGCCGCCAGCAGCGGGCGAACCGCCTCCCCGGTCCCCCGAGGGAAGGAGGCGAGACCTCCCTCTCTGCGCTCCCCGCGGCCGAGGCCCCGCCCCCGCCGCCGGGAAGCCCGCGGCTGCCGGCGGCTCCGGCGATCCCGGCCCCTGCCCTTATATGGGCAGCCGGAAGCAGCTCTGGCGCCCGCCGGACGTCACTCCTTCCAAATTTAGCTGTGGAAGTCAGCGGGCTCCAGTGGCGGGAAGCCTCTGCTCGCCAGTTGTGCGTCTGGGGGCACTCCTTAAAGGGCCCACACCATGAATCAATGGAACCATCGGAACAGTGTGTCTCTTCCCCTCTCAACTGGAATTAAATTTTCTTGGAGCAATAGCGCGTGGCGGAGGGAGGGCCCGATGGTGATTTTTCTGTTTTTTGAGTTGTTCAGTTTTCAGCTCCCACCCCTATCCCGCCTCCCAGAGAGGAAAGGCGGAGCGCGGCTCAATTGTCGGTGGTGGTGGTGGTTGGGGGGGGGTCAGCAGCCACGTGTTCACTGGGACAGTCCTGCCACTGGGTCCACTGCCTCGCGAGGGCCAAGCCTATCTGTGGAGGTCGTGCCTCAGGAAATGGGAATGTTTGGTACTGGGTGGGGGGCGGCGATCTGGGCTGTGCTCTGGGGTCCGCGGATATCCGCTGCCCGCCGGGTGACTCCCTCTGGAACCAGCCAACGCCACCCGCCTCTTTACCACCTAGATACCGGGAAAACGAGGAGGGCTGGTATTCGCTAGGTAATTTAGAGCTGCAGGCCCCAGTGGCCCCCTTTCATCGCAGCAGCCCGTTCATTCGTTTAGCAAATACTGGGCGAGTGACTACCTCGTTTTTCCCAAGAAAGCACGCATCTTGTATGTTCTGTGGAGTGAAGATGAGGGATCAGACGTTAATGAAAGGAAAATCCTTAGCAGAGCCCGGCATGTAGTAGGCGCTTAGTAAGTGGCAGCATTGTTACTGATTCAGAAAACATTAATTAGACGGCTCGTTGATGCCAGGAACGGTGCCCACGGGGGATGTGCGGGTTCCAACACGGGTTTTCCCCAGTGAAAAGGGAAACTTGCCGCCTACGACCCGCTGGCGTCGCCGGACGCGAGCACATAGGTGGGCTTTGAGCCACAGCCGCGATTCCTCTCCCCGGGTCCTGCGCACGGGGTTCTACGAAAGGAGACCACCCAAGAGCTCAGCGTGCAGGAGGAGACCGTCCCTCTCGCCGGGATTTCCGACCCTCTTCCCGGCTGGTTAAATTTCACCCTGTCGCTTTAAGGAGTGGCCACCTTGTGGTGGAAAGCCCGGATGCGGCCCTCTGATTGGGCGGGGCCTCCTCATGACGTCACTCTAAGGATAAAAGGGCCCAGGTGGCCGGAGCCCGGGCAGAGCGTTCTAGCAGTGTCACTGTGTGGGTTGGCGTGTTGTTCATAGTACACCTGCTGCCAGTCCTGTCCGTCCCAGGAGTACCTGCTGCCCTCACCGTCGAGCTGCCATGGAGGTGCAGAAGGAGGCTCAACGCATCATGACCCTGTCGGTGTGGAAGATGTACCATTCGCGCATGCAGCGTGGTGGCCTGCGCCTTCATCGGAGTCTACAGCTGTCGCTAGTCATGCGCAGCGCCCGGGAGCTCTACCTCTCAGCCAAGGTGGAGGCCCAGGAGCCCGAGGTGTCCTCGCCTCCGGCCAAGTCCCCGGACCCCCGCCTGCACCCGCCGCGGGAAGCGGAAACCCCTGCCGAAGTAGCTCCCCCCGACGGAGAACAGCCTTCCCCGGAGCCCATGGACACGCAGGAGGAGGCATCGGGAGCCCAGGAGACCTCTGCCCGCGGTGCCCGGCTTCTCGCCAAAGTAAGCCGCAAGCGGCGGAGCAGCAGCCTAAGCGACGGCGGAGACGCCGGTTTGGTCCCGAGTAAGAAAGCCCGTCTGGAAGAGGAGGAGGAGGAGGGCGCGTCGTCGGAGGTTCCTGCCCGCCTCCTACCCGCTCCCGCGCAAGCCGAGGGCGCCTTCCCCAACCTGGCCCGCGTGCTACAGAGGCGCTTCTCCGGCCTGCTGAACTGCAGCCCCGCCGCGCCCCCGACGGCGCCCCCAGCGTGCGAGGCCCCGCCGGCCTGCCGCCCCGCGGACAGCATGCTAAACGTGCTCGTGCGGGCCGTGGTGGCCTTCTGAGGACCCCAGCGGCGCTACCGGAGCCCAGAGCGCGCGCCGAGTGCGCAGACCCTTGGCGACGTCCCCCTGGGGATCGCCGGCGGGAACCGTGGAGAAGAGCCGCCGCCCGGGCTGCTGAGAGGCTCGGAAGGGACTCTGCCCCGGGGGAGCCGTCGCCCTCGTGAGCAGCGGCGGCTCCAAGGAGCCGGCGGCGCGGGCGCCTTCTGCCGCGACCTTCGGCGCCCACAGGTGCTTTCTCTGGACTGAGACGCGGACCTGCCCCCCGGCTGGAGCAGGGAGTCTCCTCAGGTCGGACCTCACTTTTCACGCGGCCGCGCTGCCCTCCGGGTTTCCAGCAGCCCGTGTGCACGCCGCCAAGCGCAGAGGACCCCGGCACTCCCTGTCCCCCTCCACGACATACTTGTGCAAGCGGTCATCGTTGCGTCACGGGGCAGGCGTGGGGAGCTTCCTGCTGCTGCGTGGGCGTGGGCCTGGGAGGAGGGTCGGCTGTGGGTCCGCCCTGGGGCGCGGGAGGAGCGCGGCCTGAGTCACTCGCCCCCGCGTGCTGCTGCTGCGGAGTGCCCCGCGCCTCGCAGCCGAACTCTTCGGATTGAAAATTTTTCTCTTAATGGTGCATTAGGAGGTGGCGAGTGTGTTCCCAGTCCCAAACGTGACCCTCGGACACGGACACCATCCCCCCAGAGCGAATGCCGGGTCTGAACCGCGGGAGCGGAGTGGGGGAGGCGGCGCCCAAAGTGCGCTCCCGCTGAGCCGGGAGCCGCCGCTGGCCGGACTGGGCCCGCCGGGGGAGGGCGGGAACTCTCCAGGGCTTTTGTAGGGTGTTTACCTTTCCCGTGACGAATTCTGAATTCCCCATCCACCTGGCGTTTTGATAGGAATGTCAGGGAATAAAGACAATTTGAGTAAACGCGCTGCCTCTCGGCTGTTCTTCCCGGGCGGGGAGGGGCGGGGTCAAAGGGTCAGGAGCCGGCCTCTGGGAACCCGTCCGACCAGTTACACGTGGGCGGGACGAGGCTGGGCCCCTTCTCTCCGCAGAACTTCGGTGCTGTGGGCGCTCCACCGCGACTCCCCGGTACCCTCCCCCAGTTTGGGGTTTACTTCGAAATTCGGGGGCGGGGAAAGTTTTACCGAGTTCAGACATGGGGGGGTGTGATTTCCAGGTCCCGCGCCCCAAACGCTGAATTGGGAGAACCAATAGCTCCTTGAGCCAGGAAAGACTAATTAATGAAGCCAGCCCCGGTGGGGTCCCCACCGCGGGGGGTGGAGTTGCTCAGGAGCTTTAGAGGGTCTCCCTCCAAAGGGGGAGTACTGAGAACTGGGCCCAGAGGCACATTACCACCGAGCCCACCCCAGCCCTTTCTAAGGTATACATTTTAGTTGCAGCTGCAGACACCTTGATTCATTCATCTTTAGGGGTGCTGAGGACTGAACCCAGGGCCTCTATAGACATTTTGAGGTCTCCCTAAGTTGCTGAGGCTGGCCTGGAACTCCTCCTGCCTCGGCCTCCCGAATGGCTGGGATGGCAGGCCTGCGCCTCTGCGTGGGGATCCCGATCTTTCCGGAGACGCGGCGCGTTGTTGGGATCAGGAGGCAAGTTCCCAGGCTCACTTTCCTCATCTGTGAAACGGGCCCCCGACGGCTGCCTCTCCACGTCCTAAGATTTAGGAAGGTCCCGCAAACCCTACCCACCTGCCTTTGTCCTGCCGCAGCTCCGGGTCAGCCACCCTGGGTGGAGACGGCCTCTCACCCACGTTGGTCAGCTCGGAGGCGGTAGGCCCTGCTCCGCCAGGGGCAAGGGGCGGGGCGGGGGATGCTGTTCAGAGGACAAAAGAGTCGCAGGTGCGGGGAGCGGGTGGCGGGAGGCGCCGCCGCAGCGCCGGCCCCGCCTCCGGATGGCTGGCTCTGCCACGGCGGGTCTCCCGGGATCCCCAGGGACTGGCCCCGAGGCCGGAGGGTAGAAGGAGGGTGCGGTGGAGGGGTGGGCCGGCTCCGGAACCTGGCCCCGGTCCTCCAGGCCCGCGCTTCCCTCCGGCCCCCTCCCCTCCCCCTCCCCCTGGGAGGCGAGTGCACCCGGGGCCACCGAGCCAGCTCGCCCCCTCCGGGGCCTCCTGATTTCTTCCGGGAAAACGTGGGGGGACTCAGCACCACCAACTCCGAGGACCAACCCACAACTCCCCAAGGGTGGGGGAACCCAAGCCCCACACTCCCGAGAGCCTGGCCGGCCCGGGAAGTCCCTGGCCGCCGGGGAAGGGACCTGGCCTCGCATCCTGTCGCAGGAACCGCCGGGCCCTTCCTTCCGCGGGAAGCTGCTCGGCCGACCCCGGCCCCCCGCGGGGCCCGCTGGGGGTTTCCGGTGCCTGGCTGCTGGAGGTTGGGACTAGAGATGTTGGGGCAGACGACAGGGCAGGAAGAAGCCACCTCCACACATGTCCCCCTAGGACTTAACCCTTGTCAAGACCCCCTGACCCCCCACACCTGGCTAAATTAAAAACGGGGGGGGGGCGCCGCAGCTCAGTGACTGAGCCTTTGCCTAGTTTGTGGGAGAACCCGGGTTCCAACCCCAGAACCAGGGGGGAAAAGTGTCACAATAAGCAATTTCAGCGAGGTCTGGAGTTTCCACACCATTACCTGGGCCGGCTACCGAGAGGGAAAGATAGGGCAAGAGTTGCGAAAAATACAACTGCCAGACTGTGACCAGCAGGCTCCTCCCCAAAGGCCGTCCCCTGGTGTCTGAAATCCACCAAATGGGAAGCAGCCCCCACGCCCATCCCATGGGGCCCATCCCACAGGACGGGTCCAGGCCTCGGCGACTGCTTCATAATCCCTCCCCAGAGGGCCAAAGGCCTGCAGGAGAGGCCGGCTGACGGCAGCCCAACAACCCTGAGCAGAGTAACAAAGGCCGGCTGCGGAAGGCGTGGTCTAAGGAACACACTCCCTGGCCTGCTGTGCAGCCCTGAGCCAGTCACTTCACTTTTCTGGGCCTCAGTTTCCCTGGCTCTAAATGGGGGAAAATAATGATTCCTGTCTCTTAAATTTATTGAAAGAATTTAAGTGAGCACTAAGGTTGCAGCTGCAGGCTGTGCAGAGGCCCTGGATTCAACCCCTAGCACCACGGTAGCATTAGTAGTTGTAGCAATAAGTGTATAAGTGCCCAAGATGGACTCCTGCTGTCCCTTCCAGCCTCTCACCTTGAATGGTAACACCCACCGCCTGAGAGCTTCTTTCACTGTTTGTTTTCTTCCCTCATTCCTCATCCAGCAGAAGGTGCTGTCAACTTGACCTCTCACCAGACTCCAAGCCTTTCCCCACCTTTATGGTCCATTTGTGTGAGCTGCCTTTGCCTGCGAGAGGGTGGTGGTGGCCTCCATCCTGCCTCTTCACCAATCTGTTCATGACTCATCACTGTAGAAGAGACAAATGTCTAGTTCCACTCTTGTTCCCCCCTGTCCCATCCATACGGGCTTTCTCTCTGCTTGGAGAATAGGCCAAGTATGTTCCAGCCCCAGGGACTTTGCACTTGCTGTCCCTGTCTGCTTGCAGTGTTCTTCTCCCAGACACCCACATGGGCACCCTCACCCTTTCTCTTCTCCTTCTTTGAAACAGGGTCTTGCTAAATTGCCCAGGCTGGCCTTGAACTTGCTCTCCTCCTGCCTCAGCCTCCTGAATAGAGTAAGGTTAGCTAGGTTTATAGGTGTATGCCACTGTGCCCAGCCTATTCTCACTTCCTTCAAGTTTCTATTGAAATGTCGCCTCCTTGGGAAGGCTTTCTTTAACCTACCCCCCCCACACACACACACACTCTGCTGCTGTGCTCCCTTACCCCACTTCAGCCCTCCTGAGAGCACTGCTTGCCTTCTGAAATGCTCTACACGTCACATATATGTTCTATACCCCCACTCAGCCAGTCCCACCAATGTCCAGCCCCATGTCCCACCCACTAAGTACTTGATTTACGCAACCTGTGACTTCCCTGCGGCTCCCAATCTCCCAGTCAGGCACACAAGTGAGGCCAAAGCAGGAGGACTGCAAATTCAAGGCCAGCCTAGACAACTTAGACTTTTGTCTCATAATAAAAAATAAAAAGTATGGGCATGAAGTTCAGTGATTCCGTGCCCCTGGTTTCAATCCCCCAGTACAAAAAAAAAAAAAAAAAAAAAGTCCCAAACTTCCAGGGGTTGAGGGTCTGGATCTTTCTCATCTGCTTTACAGCTCTACTATTATTTACTTAACATTTATCTCTGATTTAATTTTTAATCACACTCCATGCTCAGATTGTAACATTTTTTTAAGTTACAATGTAAACAAACTGTTGTAAAATCCTGCAGATACAGTAGCCAGTCTGCAGTTCCAGGTAGCTTTTTTTGTTAGAGATTAGCAAGTGATAAAGACACATTATTGCCAAGGATATGGACAGCATACCGAAACAGGAAGAGACTGAGGGATTCATTCCCAGTCATTTAAAAAGCATTGAAATCTGGGGCTGGGAGGTATAGCTATGTTGGTAAAGCACACACAGAGGCCCTGGGTTCGATCCCCAACACACACATACAGACACTATATAATTGTGTCAGGCAAAGTGGCACATGCTTGTATTCTCAGTGACTTGGGAGGCTGAGGCAGAAGTATCACAAGTTCAAAGCCAGCCTCAACAATTGAGCAAGGCCCTGAGCAATTTATCGGGGCCATAGGCAACTTTGCAAGACCCTGCCTCAATGGTTAGGTGCCCCAGGGATCAATCCTGGTACCAAGTAAAAACCCTTGGTCGTTATAGGTAAGAGCCAGCCTGATCTAGACCCAGTTTACTTCTGCAATAATCTGAAATTACCTCCTTGTAACACTGTCCTGTGTTATGTTTCAATACTTCCTCAATCATTCCAGCCACAAGAGCTTTGTATGTGCTGTGACCTCCTCAGTCTCTTTTCCGCCTCTGTGCACCTTGTTAAATATATCTTTTTTTTTAAAGAGAGAGAACTTTTTTTTTAACTTTTTTTTTTTTAAAGAATTTTAATATTTATTTTTTGGTTATCAGCAGACACAACATCTTTGTATGTGGTGCTGAGGATCGAACCCAGGCCGCACGCATGCCAGGCAAGCGCGCTACCGCTTGAGCCACATCCCAGCCCGAACTTTTTAAATATTTATTTATTTTTTAGTTTTCGGTGGACACAACATCTTTGTTTGCATGTGGTGCTGAGGATTGAACCTGGGCCGCACGCATGCCAGGCGAGTGTGCTACTGCTTGAGCCACATCCCCAGCCCTGTGCACCATGTTAAATCAGCTCAGCTCAAAGGGCAAAAACCTTGGGGTTTGTCTGCACCCCCACCCCTTGCTGAGAGCCATTGCAAAGTAGGAATGACACATCAAAATTTCCTTGCCAGCGTACCCCATGTTGCTTAGAGGAAGGACTCGTGGAAATGGACATTTGAAGTGACATTGCATGTATGTTTGAGAAAGGTGACCCTGCTCAAGGACCAGGGTGGATCTGGGTTTAGGGAGGATCCTACTGGATTAGGGCAGATCCAGGTTTAGGGTGTATCCTGCAGGTTTTAGGGAGTATCTGGCTCTTTGGGTTTAGGGCGTTCCCGGTTTAGGACAATCTGGGTTTAGGGCTGTTCCAGGTTGAAGGTTATTCCTGCTGGGAATTGGGCGTATCCTGCTGCCTGAGTTCCCGTTGAGTTCTCCTGGAATTCAGAAAGTATTTGGGATTAAAAGCCTGGGGGAGTAGGTGAATTTTGCTGGCAGAACCTGAATTTCCCCAGAATGTGTTTGTAGAGGGCCGGTGTGAGTTCAGGAATAGGGAATAAAGAATTGCTGTTTGAATCTACAAGGTGTGTGGTGGCTCGTAATTCTGTGCCCAGCCAGACTGTGGCAACCCCTGCCATCTTGGTCCATGATCTCTGTATTTA